CCCCCCCCATAGTGATGCTTCAGACTAAATTTGGTTGAAATTCTCTTTGGCGTTTAGGAGGAGATAGGTTTTCAAGAAAAATTTGACGACGATGACAACGACAATGGATGACGGACTTTGCGCCACGGCATAAGCTCACCATGGTCCTTCCGACCAGGTGAGCTAAAAAACAACAAAATGTAATTTTTGTTTTAATATCATTCCTCATTTATATTAAAAAAAAACATCTTTGTGATAACTCAGGTACATGCATCCCCAAAAACCAAGTTATGCACATTACATATTAAACAGAAGTGCAGTAAATACTATTAAATACCTGTATGTAACACTTCAGCAATTACATATGATATTTTTTGTGATTTCTTCTCTTGTTTACAACTTCATATTTCAAACACAGTAAAACAGATCTTATATAGTTACCAAAATAAAATACTATTTAGGACAAACAGTTACGACTAGAAAATATATTGGAAAAGTCAACACTTCAATACTTAAAGTCTTTGACACACTTTCAAACAATAATCTCTCAACAAGCAATAATTTCTAGGACAGATTTGATTGCAAAACTTGTGAACATTTCTACTTGTTTCTATTCCTTTTTCCTTTTGAACCATTTTCCAAAATAATTAGCCACGCTTTTAAGTCCTTTCCACGGCAAAGTCACAATTCCTTTTAAGGCACCTACGATCTTTGTAGACTTCTTTTCACTAGGCGATACCTTCCACATTCCTGCTTCCTTTTTACACGCAGCACTTTCCAACCCTATGAGTCTATTGAGCAGTTCTGACTGACTTGCTGACATCTGACACATGTCCTGTTCAACGGCGTACGATACTTTACACAGTCCCTGTTTTACAAGCTCGTCATTCACACATGTGTTTCTTCTGAAAATCTGGGGATAACAAATTTAAAATTCAGATCCAATTTGTCTAAAACGGTCAAGCTTTAAAATTATCTAAAAATCGATCTCTGCCACAGATCAAGTTTCTTGACATCTACATCACAGACAGGCAAAATACCAATGAACAAAAATATGCATTTATTCATGATACAATACAACGTCATATGTATCACACATTTGAAAACACTCAATTACTTTAAAATGCATTAAACTAAGAACAATATGGATACCAGCAATAGTTGTACATGTAGATGGTCGTGACAAGGAAGGTAATTCTGTTTAAAGTATCTCCTGAAATTTTTAACGTTATATTAAAATTCTTTTAATGTCAGCATCTATTTATATCACTAAATACCTTGGGTATATAAACGGTCGCCAGAAGTGAATCTTGCCATGGATGTGATCTTTCCTGAATCCCTAGGGGCAGGAACAAGACCCTTTTCCCCACAACGTTCTGTCCTATCCACTGTTGCCCCAGGGGGGACAGAGATATGTATGCAAGCTCTACTGGAAGGGATTTAGTTTCTGAAAAATTAATCATTTATATTAAGTGTGAACAGTAACAGTACAAAATTGTGAAAATAAAAACTTCTTACACAAGATATTTTGGTACCAAACTTACTATAAAAGCGTTGAAGCCATCTTGGCTTAATGGTCAACAGGGGCTGATGATTAATTTGGAGGATACCACTGACCTCGACTGATGTCACTCGCCCCCTCAGACGAACACCATTCTTTATGAAATGTTTTGGAATGTCTTTGGCTGCAGAGAACACGTCTGTCTGAAAAAAAGTTTACATATAATTATTTGTCACACATGTAGTCGCAAAAAAACAAAGCAATATTAAATATAAATAATATATGTGGAAGATTTATAGACAAGAGGTCCAGAGGGCCTGTATAGCTCACCTGAATATTTAAACATTCATAGCAAAATATTCTCATTTAATATTATACTGCAAACTTTCATAAATACTACAAACATTTCACTCGCAAACTTTCTAGGCTCCATCTGTTGAAACTACCAGCCAAATATTATTATATGATTCTATGCTTTTTGGTTCTTCTTCAGAAGTTGTTTGATATATTTTTCCCTGTGACCTTGTAAGTAGGTCGAGGTTATTTTCCTTTTCAAAATTTGTTGGCTCTATCCCAAGAAGATACCAGCCAAATCTTATGAATTCATTCTTTATGGTCTTGCGAACAAATCGTTTGAAATTTTGCTGACCTCTGTGACCCTTAAAGTAGGTTGTGGTAATTTTCATTTGCAAACTTTGTCGGGCTCTATCCTAGGAAGCCACCACCAAATAAGAAGATTCTATCTCTTTCAGTTCTTAAGAAGAAGTCGTTTGAAGTGTTTGACACATTTGACCCCTGTGACCTTGAAAATACGTCAAAGTCATTTTCATTCACAAACTTTATTGGGCTTTATCCCAGGAAGCACCCATCTAAATATGAAGATTCTATAACTTTCAGTTCTTCAGACCTTAGGCCTTTCCGTTTTTCAGAAGTTGTTAAAAGGAAAAGTTGTTGGACGATGACGGACGGACGCCCTTCCGGCAGGTGAGCTAATAATGTCTGTGGCAAAATTATAAATAATATCTGTAGAAGAAAACTAATGATATATATTAAACTAAGAATTCATGTTTAATTTAGAATTTACAAGAGGCCCAATGGGCCTGCATCTGCACCTGGTATTAATCTCACACTTGTAATCTTAAAAGTGGACTAAAATACAGCTACAGGCAGAATATCAGTGTTTGATTCATAAGGACCTTTTAAAAGATTTAAACATATGACATTAGGTTGAAAGTGGGTCAAGGTCATTCATTTAAACAAATTTGGTAGCCCTTCATCCCAGCATGCTACAGGCCCAATTTCAGTACCCTGGGCCTTTTGTTTATTAAGAAGAAGTCGTTTGAAGATTTTACGACATTTGACCCCTGTGACCTTGAAAGTGGGTTAAGGTCATTCATTTGAACAAGTTTGGTAGCCCTTCATCCCAGCATGCTACAGGCCCAATATCAGTACCCTGGGCCTTTTGTTTATTGAGAAGCATTTGTTTGAAGATTTTAACATATTTGACCCATGTGACCTTGAAAGTGAGTCAAGGTCATTTATTTGAACAAACTAGGTAGAACTTCATCCCAGCATGTTACTGGCCAAATAGCATCAGCCTAGCCCTCTTGATAATTGAGTAGAAGCTGTTTAAAGTCAAAAGTTGACGACGAATGCCGCACCATGCCATTAGAAGGGAAAACAAATTGTATCTCTTTGCCTGTTAAAACATTATATATTGTTGCCATGTAACAACAAACATTTCTCTAGTCTTGCACAGAAATATCCAAAACATGACATAAAATAGTTGTTTCTGCAATTTTTACTTTAGATGTGGTTATATTGAGTAATGTTGCTGAATATCTGGTCAAACAATGACCAGCTAGATTTGGTTATAATTGTCATCTGGTCATCAACTGAAATATCTGGTGTGACCAGACAAACTCGGTCAGTTAATAATTTGACAGGTTTTATTATAGGTAGCAATAATATGAACAAACAGGTGTAAAGACGGAGAAGATAAAGAATAACACTTACTGCATGTACTCCACGTAGCACAAGTACCAAACCAACTGTTCCAACACCATAGGCCAACCACTGTGTAAAAAGTGTATAGAAAATGACTCTGTGGTTTAAGCTTTGGTGGCTAGGGCATTCTTGCTATATAATGGACTGATCCTGAAGTTTCTCTACAACTGATGAGGTTTTGTGATACAATAAAAATTTAAAATTCTTTACTGGAATAAATGTATAAAATATGTTAATGCCTATATTCTAGTTATTTGAGCTTAAAGACAACCAAACAGACGTAGGAAACATCTTTAACGTGAAATCATAATCTACTCATTTTGTCTAATTTTCCAAAATGACATTTTTCTGTGGAGCTAAATGAATTACTGGAAAATCATTGATGATGACTCACCATAAATTATTATAACACTAACTCTGTAGCACTCATCCCACTAAAAACATCCACTACATATACACTCAAGTATTGTCTAGAGAAAAAACACCAATGTTAGTCAGCTAGGCAGTATCACCAAAATGAGTTCTCTTTAATGACACATACTCAAACAAAATCTACCCTTGGGGTAGGGCTGGCTCAAAAGTTTCAAAGTATCAAACTGTCAACTCAGGGTTTTAATTCCAATCAAGTTATTAACATGTAATATTCAAAGTATCATTTGCCATTATAAACCATAATAACTTCTTTTAGCCTCACCCATCAGCCCCTGGGGGTCAGTCAGGGCTCATATGTGCATACTATCAAACTGCTACCCAATACTGATAATGCTAACCTAAATTGAATTACTTCCAATGGAAATTAAACAAATGTTAGTCCAAAATGTGGTATCCCTATATAAACTATAGTAAAGTTTACTCCCTCCCCAGGGGGAAACGTGCGACCCCAGGGTCATTAAATTCACAATTTTGGTAGAGCACCTTATATTTAAGACCCTTCCATCTATGAAGAGTGTTTGATTCTACCATATCTGGGTCTTGAGAAGAAGATTTTTGAAATTTCAGTCAATTCGACCCTTTTTGGCCCCGCCCCTCAGGCCCCTGGGGACCAAATCGGCCACTGTTTTTATTGACCTTTGGCCATGGAAGGTTTCTGCAAAATTTCATTGAAATTGGTTCAGGGGTTTTGGAGAAGAAGTCGAAAATGTAAATTGTTTACGGACGACCGACGGACGACGCTGGACAAAAGGCGATCGCAATTTAATAGGTCACTTGAGACTTTGTCTCAGGTGACCTTACAAGTTGACGACGGACGGACGACGGACGCCGCACCATGCCATCAGCTCACTTGGTCATTCGGGCCAGGTGAGCTAAAAAGGACCAGGACAAGAAGACATGTAGTTCTAGAAAGGTAGGCATCTCTTTCTCATCAAAGACACTTGCAATGTAAATCTAGGTCAAATCCAAGTATAGCCAAAACCAGGGCTGTGACAACAAAGCAATAAGTGAAACTAATGAGCAAAACTAAACACATCAACCTTCATATAAAACAAAGAAATAGCAAACTTCCCGAAAGAGAATGTAATATGCGATCACAAATCTTATCCATAATTGGAAACCCTCAATCTAATTCTACGTAACGTAGTGTAATGAGAGATCTGATTTCAACTAAATTGTGGAAACCCTGTGTTATTAGTTTGTCCATCAGCCGTCCACTATCACGGAAGTCACAAAATTCAAAGCAAGCTCTTGAATACCAAATCAACTGTGACATAATTGGGGAGAAGCTGTGTTTCTGTTACCTACACAACAGCCTGTACCTTTATGAATTGGGAAAATATACCATTATTTGTATTGATATTGGGAATATATTCCTCAGTTTTTGGTCATTTGGGAAAATACAGCATTTTTTACATGTACATTGTATTTGGAAGTAAAACTGACCAATTAATAATCACTGAAAAAGTATATTACTATCAAGAAAGGGAAAGTTGACAGTCTGAAGCCCAAGAAGGCACATGTATTTACCAATGACATCATAATTGCTATCTAAAAACAGCATAATTTTGATATATAGCTAAAGGTGAAATTGAATTGAATTGAACATTAATGACTTGGTCGACTTTGTGTATGTGTTGTACAGAAATAATTTTCTGCCACTGTTTTCCTCAACAGTTATAAAGGTACGTTTTTAAACTCTGTACAATTGTCAGTGATGAAATACTGAAAACTGAGTTGTAAATGAACTAATGAATCAGTACATAATGATCATGTCTATATATAGAGAGGAGACCACTGGTACAGAGAAAGAAGAAAGAGTATACCATATGTTTGCTATAAACTTGGTCAATCATATATGAATAGAGATAACCAAGTAAGTCAGTTGGTAAATGCATCCAAATCTGTTGTTATTTTAACTTCTGTTGCTATAAAGCTCAACATTTGTAATTAGACTTAACAAATTGTGAACATAACCTTTACCTAAATTAAACACTTTATTAGCAAATTAACAAATATTATTCTATTTTTGTGAATCTTTTTAATATGCAAAATACCTACCTTAGCCTCTCGCACATATCTATCCATAAATGTTGTGATTTTGTACAGAATATCATTTGCTTGTTGTCTTTTTTCATTTTCCTCATCTTCAGAGGATACCATCCTGGCAGTGGTATATTACAGCTGTAAAACAATGTCACCATACAATTATCACTTTATAGTGACGGTAGCCTAGACAACACATTGTATCAAACTCCAGTTCACTACCACATTAGTGGTATAGGAATAGTGAAAAAAATAGCGAAACTTGTTTGCATACATCAATAAGATGGAATCAAACATTTTGTTTTTAATTGCCTAACAAATTGACTGCATGGATATATACACATAAAATCAAGTGTACACTATCTTCGGAGATTTCAGAAAATTAATGCATTTGTAATCTCATGTCAATGCATCTCATGTGTTATTTCAAGGGGACATAGTTGTGTTTAAATATACATTTTATTACTTGGTTTTTATTGCATATGAAAAAAGGTAATCCAATGAGCAGGTACATGTATACAGCAGCCAATGTGAAGATGACTTGCCTTTTGTTAATTATAATGGCAAACTTCATCATGGTGGGCACATACATTGTACATTGTGCACCTGCAGGTTAAGGGCTGTTTGATTTAATGATTATAAACCATTTACATTGTATAACCATCAAATAAAAACAAGTTTCAACATTTGAATCTAAGGATAGTTTCAAGTTGTAATAAAATTATTTTAACATAAATGACAGTTTTTGGTATATTCATGTAATGTCAGCAGTATAGATCTAGAAGATGGTTGATAGTATAATATTACCAACCTCTGCTCTGACAGATATGTTTTTCAATGTAAAAAAGGTAAAAAAAACCTAGCCAATTCGATTCACACCAACTCGACAAAGGGGATTTTCTTTTTAGCTCATTTAGTAGAGCATCAGACATTTGTAAACGTGGTCCCTGGTGAGTTTCGACTCGTGGCGGAGGCATTGAACAAATAATGACCTCTGTTACAAATGTGATACCTGCCTGAGAATAAGAAAGGTAATTCACACATTCACTATATACATATATTCATCTGGGAATTCGATAATTGATGAACAATATTCAGCCAGTGTTCCAATCATTATTCATCTTGTATAGAAAAAGAACTCCCATGTCAATTAACCAAGCTCAATGTCTGTCCAGAAGCTTAAGGTATACAGGTAAATCAGTACATAATAGGCATCTGCAGGTAAGATACCATATAGAGCTGTCCCTTGTTCAGGAAATGACAGCTTCATACAAAGACCAACAGATAATGCCAGTCTCTGGACACCCTTCCTCAGAGGGATTTGTCCCTCTTAGCAAATTCTCAGTGAGGTTTCAGTTGTGAAAAACTGTGTTATCAATTCAATCATTATCCTATTAACTTTGCAATGAATAGTTCATTCATGCCATCAACTGTCGCAATCCTAAAGTACAGCCTAAAGTACCTAACCAGTAAACTCTCATTAGCTAATTATGATCTTTTCACTCAACCAATATATCGAACGGCCAAGAGCTTTGTAGGTACATTATCTATGAACACAGCTGGTACTAGCCTCGTCTGTCAATACACCCATTATATAATATAATCAAGTATAGTATAGGTGTATTGACAGGCATACGAGGCTAGTACCTGTGATAGGTAGTTGTATGTGGTTAGGTAATTAAGGCTGGATCACTTTACTTGTAATATTAAAAAATAGGGGTCTATACTAATAGTATAGGAGCCCCCTATTTTTTAATATTACAAGTAAAGCGATCAATGCCCCTGTGGCTGGCCTAAGTTTCCTCTGGCCCTGACACCAGACAGACTTAGACATTTTGACAGATAAACTTGAATCTCGCGATCGGGTAGCCCGAGTTTCCTCTGGGCCTAACACCAGAGTTAGACATTTTGGCATAACGATGTCTGGTCACCAGACACCTACCTGTCCAGATGTCTAAGTCTGGTGTCCAGGTGTCCAGAGGAAACTCGGGCTAAGGTAAGGCTTAACTGAATTTGCACAGGCTAGTACCTGTGCCAAGTGACCGAGTCAGTGTTGACATTTATCGGAAATTTCAATCATGACGAAACTAACAAAGAAGTGATTTTTCAAATATTGCAAACTATTATTGATATACCTTTCTGTTGTCTTAAATCCAAGCTGATGTGCTGAGTTTTAGAGTTTTAATACCCGGTGCAACAAATCGCGCAAGCAGTCATGTTTACGCCGGAAACATCGGACAGGTCTATAATATTTGAAACGGGAAATATCCAAAGATCCGGACCCTGTTTTATAGCGACAAACTGATAATGAGAATTAAATTAAATTGTTAAAAATAGAGAAAAAAATCATCATAGATGCTAACTGATCCGTCAACAACGAAAACACCATGTTGTTTGAAAGATAAAATACACAATAATGTAGTCTTGCTGACTGATGACTTGAATCGGAAATATTTTATTTTTGGATAGCTTAAATTCACTTTCAGATAATGCAAATGCATAAGATAAACACTCGCCACCCGACCACCAATATTTTGGCAATTTCTTAGTACACTGTATGTTTTGCTAAGAGTTGGTCGCAGAATTGCTTTCTACGTCTATAAGTTGACTTGAAGGGAGTATATATACCAATATGTATTGTATGAATGTCTGCCGTGTGGCCGTACGTATGTCTGAATGGATATCGGTGTTGTTCGTAATTCGCCGATTACCCTGTCGCTCAAACGTGCATAAGTTATCTGTTCAAAGCAACGTTTGGGTGTGTTTTATGTCCTATAGTAATTTGAGAAAAAAACAGATATTATTTTGTAGTGGAGGAAAAACCACCACGATCCTTTTAAGCAACGTCGCAACTGTGTAAGAAGAGAAAGAAAGGACGAATGGTTATGATCCAGATATGAGTTGGTTGGTTGGTTTTATAGTGTTTAGCGTCCTATCAACAGTTAATGTCACATTAGGACGTGCCTCCTTGTATATGTTGTGTATGCGTGCTTGTGTGTCCGTTTGCCGGAGACAGGGTATACGTATATGTTGGTGTAATTGCCTCCTTGTGATAGCGCGTATCTGATGCCAACTTTCTAGTGCTATCGCACTGAAATACCTTGCCAAATACACGCAGCACATCATTCCGTCCGGTCACATTATACTGACAACGGATGAACCTGCTGTCACCATTACCCAAAATGATAAACGTTAAACAGGGTATAACAACTACCATTTTAAAGGACTTTGGTATGTCCCGGCCTGGGGACAAAACCCATTGCTTCCTCACCACGGCGAACGCTCAACAAACCGCTAGGAAATGGGTGAAGCCGATTTATTTTGATCGCTTTAGTGTCCCCAAGAAGAGGACTCAAAAGAAAATCCCAAAATCTGCAATGGGTTACCGTGTTTCGTGTCGACATTAGACCATCCAAAAACGTTAGACTTACTAAACCTCCCGAAGCCCGTCGGAAACGAAGGTTTCGTTTTGTCTGTAACGTTCTCGCAACATCCATTGTCATATGAGGAAAGGTGCCAAGAAAGACAGCCCCTGAAACAAAATGTAGACAGAAAGGATACAAAAAAAAGGAAATACAAGAAATGAAAAAGATCCCGAATATTGTAATGGGGACAGTAGATTAATTTTGATATCATCCATATCCCCTTTGTAGGAGACAATGAAGAGAACACCTGATTCTGCAGGGGGGCCCACATTAGTCGCCTTTTACTATACACATGTAGTGGGGTACATCAAGTCTTTTATTGATTGCCAGATGTCGCCAGATAGATCAATCAATCAATCAATAATTTATTTTATTTAAGTGTCACATGTTAATACAAACATTAAACAGGTATCTGAGAAATTTAAACATAAAACTATATTGCGTAAGATCCAGCCAGATAGAAGACAGGGAAGAAACCAACCCTGATTCTGTAGGGGCGGAAACAAATGTTTCCCTTAATTGAACACTAAAGTACGTTCCCAAGCGTAAACCCACGCAGTTGGGGAGACGATCCTAAACCTGTTCACGTCCGATCGGGAAACCGAAGTTGCCCGGTTGTCTTGGTGAAAGGTGAGTGAGCTCTCCACAGTGCTATCCGACTTATATTGTGTAAAGGGAGAATAAGATTCACGGATATATGCTATTTATATGCTACGGCACACATGGGAATATTAGGAAAACACAAAGGATCTGTCAACACAGGAAATTGGGACGAAATTTGCAATTACATTATGTATGTCATTATCAGTTAGAAGACAAACACAATGAAATGAAGTTAATGTAAATTTCTATAAATTGGCTAGTATTGGCCATGGCTTCAACAGCTAGAATTAAATGAAAACTGGGAACAGAAAATTCCAATAATAAAAGCTGTTTCGTATATTCAAAATCAAATTGAGAGAGACCGCATTCTGTTGTCCTTAGTGAAACCCTGCCCTGCATTAGGTCTAGGTAGATGAAGCCATGACGAAGCGAGAACGGGTTGTCATAGTCTCCGACTGAAACATATAATCAGAAAAACAACATCTATAACTATCTATTCAACAACAAACTTCTATATACTTTACAGTCTGGCTTCTTACCAAATCACTCTACAACTCACCAACTTAAAGCTTTCGACCGAGTCTGGCACAAAGGTCTATTAATTAAATTAGAAAAATACGGGATAAAAGGCAAACTTTTAGATTGGATTAAAAACTAATTAAGTAACAGACCCCAGTCATTGATTTGGTACTAAAAAATGCTATAACTTCTGAAGTATCTATCAAAGCCGGAGTTCCTCAAGGTTCAGTGTTAGGGCCACTTCTTTTTCTGGTATACATCAACGATATTTCAAAGACATTACTATCAATGACTAGACTTTTTTTTGCTGACGACACCGCATTAGCACACTCTTCCAAAAATTACACGATATAAAACAAGTAATACACTACGACATGGAACAATTAAACCTTTGGTCAAATAAATGGTTAATGAATTTCAACCCAAATAAAACCGAAATTCTCTTAATTTCCAACACAAATATACCTTCTAACCCACAATTTCTTTTCGACAACACACCTATCCCTATTGTTAAAAACCACAAACACCTAGGAGTCATTATTAGTAACAACGGCACATGGAACTCTCACATCGAACATATACTAACAAACACTACAAAGTACATTGCAACTTTAAGGAAATTAAAATACATC